GGTTGCTTGGCCGAGCAGATCAAATGCGGTCGGACCTTTAGGTTCAGAGAGGATGAGGTTGATCTCTGCTTGACTGAGGTCTGGCCTAAACCCCTGAAGCGAGTCTCCCTCACCCGACCCTTCCTTGCCCATGATTGCTACACCTGCCACCATCCCCATGGCATCGAACGCCACTGCTGTCCGATTACCGTTTGGATCCGTGACGATACGGGGCTTGAGAACTCTGTAGTTTATCTCGGCCACTGTCCTGTTTCCCACTGCATCCTCCGTCCATGATGGTAACAAGACATAAGAGTCATAGGAAACCCTTGATTCGTGGCCGAGCGGATCAAGAAACGCAATTGCTTCAAAGAAACGATTCTTGGCTTGAGAGAGCTCCAAGGCTGGGTCGGAGGTGGATGTCTCAGAGTACCTCACGGTTCCCGCGCTTGCCCACCAAGACCCGTCGCCCTCAAGGTCCACATAGCCTAGTCGTGATCCTTCTACAAGGCCGCCAGGGGTAATTTTTGGGTCTCTTATCAGCGCTTCCTCTGTCCCGTCGGGTCTCAAGCGACTAAAAGCCTTGGCCAAAAGACCAGGGGTGTAGCAGAGGGTATGGCTCTCGCCAGCCAGGCCTAGCTTCCCGAGGTGTCCAGGAGGAAGCATTCCAGTCAGGTCATCCTTGCGAAATACGGTGCGGGATTTGTTGATAAGTCTCTTTTGCCGTGACGTGAGATTGAGATCTTCCTCAAAGGGAACTTCTTGTAGCGATGTCAGGGGAGAAAAGTCATTGCTCTCGCCTGCGAAGTCTGCAAACGAGAACTGCATGGCGTTGCCCGCTGGCTGAAACCCAGAAATCTCGTATGTACGCGTGCTATAGACGGCTGGCCGCCTGAAGTCATTGCCCTCGTCGATTGCTTCGGTCATATTGTTCTCCGAATACAAGATATGTGTCGATTCCTGCTTCGCCTTGTCGGGGCCCGTCAGGGATGTGAGTCCTGGCTGCCGACCGTAAACAATCTTTATCTCTTTTCGGGTGCTCCCAAAATCATCAATATCGAGACACATGGTATGGTGGATTCTCGGATCTCCCGCAACCCGCTCCATATAATAGCTTGCGGTTTCTCGAGGTTGGACTGTGCAGACGGCGTGGAGATGGGAGTCTTGGACGTCTTGTACCACCTTGACAGAATAGTTGTGTTCTTCGATAGCGAATGGAATGTGGGATGAATCTGATCCGTCCTCGCTGTAAACCTCTTTACGAAGAAGCTTCCCCTTAAGTGCCCGGAAACGCTCCCTCAGGATGCTGATCTCCTGTGGATCGAACGGATTGACCGACTCGGGCAATAAGGCACCATGATATGGCGAACTCGGAAGCCCTTCACGCACATGGTCCGCAAAATATTCGGCTTGTATCTGGCGGCTCCAGGTCCTTTCGTCGACGAACATTCCGGTATGAAACCATGTGGACGTCCGCACGGGCGGGGTGTGCCAAGCAGCATCCTCGTTGCTCATCCGGGGACTCGCCGCTGCCTCGAAGACGCCAGTGTCCCACTCGTCTGTTCGGCCGAAGCCACGGAACTCTCTTTCAACACCGTCAAAGTATCCATGATGGTAGCTGTATCTTTTCGCAAATCGGCTGTGACTGACACGGTCAATGGTCTCCACTTGCTCCACGCAGTGAACGGGGAAGGGAAGCCTCGTGATCCAAGGGGTTCCGCTCTGCTTATCGTCCAGGTAGAACTTGGTGGATGGCGCATATCGTATCACCGTCTCGGCTCCCAGATTGTTGACGAAGCAGTTGAGAAGATGCGGTTTACGGCCCTTTGTGAAGTCTATATACTGAATACTTCGGCGTTCTGCGGGAAGGCTTGTCGACCAAGTGAGACAGGCTGTTCCATTTCCCAGAAGATCCGCGACACTGACGACGGAGGTGTTATCAATTGGGAAGCTTGGCGGCAGCCGCTTTCTGGCAGAGAACTGGTTGCCAGAGTGGTTCATGTACAGGTCCAACCCCTGACCTGAAAGGTAGATGAGATCGGTCGTTCCAGAGCCGTCAATATCTGCCAAGCGGATTCTTCCCTGATGGAATGCATCTTGGTAGTCAAAAGATGGTGCGCCGTCCATCTGGACGATGCGGCCGAAGTTACCGTAGCCGTAATTTGGCCAATAGCTGACATCAGAGTTTCGTATTCGAACAATATCAGCGAGACCATCTCCCGACATGTCGGCCAGATAAAGAGTTTGTTCCGTGTCCTGGAAAAGACAGATTGGGGAACTACGATCTGAGTCAGGCTGTGAAACAGAGACACCATCTCCATAGCCCTCTTCGCCGAGCGAAGGGTACCATGTCAGGACTTCGTCCTCGTAAATTAGAACATCTGGTAAGCCATCTCCGGTGAGATCGATCATTTTGACGCTATCTTTCGAGGCATCGACATTGGGAAACCTGGCCATGTATCGGAAATTGGTCCATCCAGTGTCAATATCCGCTTCGCGTTCAAAGTATCCCCATCCTGAGGGTGCTGTTTGAATGAGATTCAGCTTTCCAGAACCCGTCACATCACCAAAGTGACACATTTCAGGTTCAGACGCTGACGGAATTGTGCGGATCAGCTCTAGTTCTCCAAATCGGGCAACGGCCAGAGGTGGCTCTGTCCCGGCCTGTACGTTGTTGGCGCTGGTGTTGCGTTTGTAGTACCATGCGGCTTCTGACCTCATGAGTATTCCAGGGAGGCCGTCGCCATCTAAGTCGATCCACTGGTAGTCTCTTCCATCAAGGCCAACGGGAAGATTACGGAGGCTTTTCTCGTCCACCGCTCGCGGGGTCAATCTTTCGAGTTCCTGATCTAAAGGAAACTCCTGGTAGGAGAATTCGAGTGGTGGGAGGCCGCGTGAGATGATTGTACCTGAGGCGGCATCAAAAGAATGTCCGAAATGACGAACAGACGCCAATACCGTCAGTGATGGGTGCTCGCGATATGCGAGCTCCATTGAGGACACGAGACAAGGTTCTTGGCCCAGCTCAGTGAAATGATGAAACATCAAGATCCTGTGGCAGAGTCTGTAGGTCCGTAACTCAAAACCCGGCCGGTGGGTCGAGAAGGGATCCAGTCTTGACCGCCAGGCACTGACTTCAACGGGGCTGGGAAGGCTTTCGTTATGTTCCCCAAAGTCAAAAACAACGGAGAACTTCCATGAGTCCTGGGGCAGTTCTAATGCCGAGAACGCAGCCCAGGTGTCTAGAGATCGGTTGGGTATCGTGTTTCCATATCGAATGGTTTTCAGATATCGGTTGGCCCCCCGGCTCTCAGGCGTACGGAACGCCTCATGTGCTGCCTCACCACTGACGTTGGCCGAGTCCTCCTGCTTGTAGGTGAAAATCATGGCATTGCCATATGTATCATACGTTTCAGACTGAAGCCATGAAAAGATGCGAATAGTGCCGTCGACCGCGGCTGACTGGTCGAATATTCTGGAGTTGGCATCGGAGCCGAAAACCAAAGTGCTATTTTCCTCAGTCACGACGCGCCAGTGCACGTCGTCCCGGCTTTCAAGGTTCGTCCAGCGTTCAATTCGAGCAAAAGTCTGACGACTGCGTGGGAAATACCTCCGCACTACATGGTTGCCACGGACGGACTCTTCGGTGACGGGATTGCCCGCAGAGTCCTGGAGAAACACCCCTGATGCGTCTTGCTTGAACACAGGCACCAGATCCTCCATGCCAGAGAGGACAAATACATCGGACTCCGGGCCGGAAGCGGGGTCGTGATATCGAGGCAAGCCTTTGGATGTCTTCCGTGTGATGGAAGCGCCGCCGCGCAATTGCCACCCGAGGCCGAACTCGCTGTTCCCAGCGCCTGAGTCGTACTGAAGCGCGAGCTGTGGTTGCATACCGCGCCTGGCGGGCGATGTCTGGATAGGCACCGACAATGACCCGGTCCCGGAGGCTGAGCTGACGTTGTATTTCTCTCCCAGGCCAGAAATGGCCCCGCCCTCCTTTTGCGGGACTATGGATGGCGCGGCAGGCAGAGCAGATGAGGCCGAGAGGGTGCTCCCGAGGGTGGATAGGTCAAAGAAGTCTTGGCCGGCTGAGCGAGAGCCTTGTGCCGGAGCGCCGAACAGACCATACCCGGCCCCGGCCGCGGCCTTGCCTGGATCGCCTTCGATGGCCATGGGCTAGTCATGTGTCTGCACTTGACTATCCTGACCCCTGAGTAAATGAAGGTATGTTGAGTTTTGGCTGGTAAATATTGACTTGAGCGACGTACCCCGCTGAAACACGATGAAGCTTTGTAGGATTATGTCAAGTCAGCGGAGGGTCAAACTGGCTCGTGAACCCCTGAAATCATTGAAGCTTAAACGGATGACGGGCTTAGCTGTGGCGTACGCCACCTAAAAGTACCATATACTTTTTTCTTCACATGTACTTCGGTAAGGCTGGCCAGCGCATGGTGAGAGGCGTCTGGTCACACTGAGCTGTCATCGTGGGATGTGCGGCTGAAGGTGAGACGGGTCAAGATATTCAGCCCTCACTTACATGTGGCATGTGATCCACCAAGGTTCATAGGAAGTGCCGAAGAGTTGCATGTGTCAAGAAAATAAACTTTCTTTCAGCAATGAAGGTTCCCAGTCGGCGAGCTGTTGATTGTAGAAGGGCGGGGTCGCGGTCTCGTCACTCGCACATCCAGCTGAAAGCGACCTGCAGAAGGTCAGCCCCTGTAGACACACACTGTACCAGACACTCGTAAACGGACCGGGATCTCGATCTAACGGTTGCTGCCGTCGTCTCTTTTCGTGCGTGCAAGATTTGCACAATTCTCACCTCCGTTTCCATTAATCGCGGAAGACCAAGAGCGGCGAGGGTGGTCTTACTGTGAGTCCGACATTGGAGCCAGGTAGCTTGGCGGGCACATTGTCCCAGGGTCAGTCCCGAACAATGATCTCAAGGCTTCAGTCAAAGCAATTGAATTCTATCTGTCTAGTTGATGTAGGTTATGGACGGAGAAGCAAACATTTCGTCAGACTACCTGGGCATCGCCTCGTTCCGACGCCTCATTCATCTCGAAGGTGTCTGACGATCGTTGAGCCTCTTTAACGTGCAACATATTCATCGCCTTCTTCTGCCTCTTTTCCTCCTTCGCCGTCAGCTTAGCTGCCTTTTTGGCCTCCTTCTTCTGGCGCTTGATCTCTTTCTTCTCGCGTCTCGTTACTCGGGGCAGTTCGCTGTCCGGACCACGAAGCACCCATCCGGGATGCACTGCGTTAAGCAACAAAAGCCCAAGCAGCATTGGCAGCGCGTCAAGTCCGAGCGCATAGTATTCATTCGTCAGGATCTCGCTGTCGAAGTCCGAGCCCGGCTTGAACTCGTAGAGACGGAAGACGATCCGAATCTGCATGTACATGTCAGCAGGGCTTGTGCGATAAAAGTGCTTAATTCAAAGATGAACTCACCATGATGAGGACGAGAACGGCAAGCAAAGCCCAGAACAGCGACTTTACAAGCGTCATCCTGAGGTCAAAGCGTTGAGCCTCGCGCATCCTGACGTACAGTCGACCCATCAGTGCGCAGAAGATGACGATGAAGAACAACTGGGCGGCGCAGCCGGCAACGTAGATGTACTGTCCAATGCGCATCATCTCCATGTCATCGCCCGACAGGAGACTGCCGCCGCCGGCTTGCACGAGGAAGCAGAGCACGTCGATCCAGACGAAGAGTTTTGTCAGCTGGGTGGCTTTCAAGTTCCAGATGCTACGGTCCGGCAAGACGTAGTAAACAAGTCGGGAGACGGTCATGTAGACGAAAGCATTCATCCCTGCATCGAGTCCGTTAGTTCGATACAGGATCCCTTGAGGGTGACAGACTTACACAAGGGCGCGAGGAGGAAGAATAGCTGGCCCAGGATGGCGTAGATCTGCTTTTGCTGGTCCCGCGCACCGGCTGATTTGAGGACGAACGCGGTGCATTCCCACGCGGCCGCCATGCTCACTACCCAGCAGAATCGCTAGGCTGATTAGTCCAACGCGTCCACAAGACTCGAAATGATGAGCTCGCGTACCTTTTTCCAGGTCACGGCTTGCACCAAGTGGGCGCCCAGAGTCAACCCAAAGAGCACTGCAAAGGCGCAGTTGGCCGCAAAGTCTGGCTCAAAGTTGTAGTTGGAGTTACAGGCGTCATACGGAACGCTTCCGTACTTTCCGGGCACTGCTGTCGTGCAGGAGGGCTCTGCCGCCGCTGAAGTCGCGCTCGGCACGTTCGTTGCTGTTGTTGAGCCGGACATTGTTGTATTAAAGTTAACAAGCTACCAACCTGGATACGTATGATGGTTGGCTAGGTAATGAACGGATTCGAATTGAGTATGATGCCTGAGTTGATCCATTTCGAAGCCATCCAAAGGCAGGCAGACAAGATGTCTAATATAGAATGTGCCATCGCTGTCCCACGGCATTCTCAGGCTTGATTCCGAAGATTGGATGCAAACCCACCATGCATGCAAGATGCTCTCAGACGGACAACACTACACGACACGATGGAAATTGGCGAGCTGGCCTATCACAGCCATCCGACTAACACCACTTTCGGCAGCAGGCTAGACTGCGTCAGTACTCTGGCGCGGCGCAGCAGCGAGGTTGTCCCCTGCCCTGCGTACCGCGTCGGTCAGCCTCCCGTCTCGTAAACTTTTGCTGTGCCTGGCACTCACAGATTGATGACGAACAAGGCCACAGCGTCTCAGACGAGGGCCGCTCCAGGCAACACTTTTCAATCCGTCGCTGATTCGCCTGCTCGACTGTTGTCAGACGCATCCCTGGTCAGTGGCTTCTATGCACAGCCCAGGACGCATATTTGCCATACGTACGACCATGCACCTGTCCTACCGAGAAACAGATCAATTTTCGTACCAAGACGTACGTTGGCATGAAACCTTAAACTACAGCTTCCTCCTAGGCTGAAGTGGTCTTCCAGGAGTCGTGTTCGTCGGCTCTGAGCCCTTGATCCAATGCTGTGCCGCTTCCTTCTACAGCACTCACTCGGTGCTGTTACAGACCATACCATGTCCAGTGGTCAATACGGAGGAGGCACGCAGCAACAAGCCCATGACGAGTCTCGCTGACGACTACAAAATCTGCCAGCAATCGCAATGTTCAGCTCCCGGCATGCCCCCGTCGCCAAGGCCCGTAATTGCATGCCGTGTCGGAACCTGAAGACGCCGAAGTTGTGGCACTGGTGGGTCAAGTGCTACGGCGCCGAGCCGGGCCCAGCGGAGCACTTCGACAGTACGCACATTTAGCAGGTTCAGCCTTTTTGGCCTGCTGAGCTAGATCCCAAGACTGATTGATCAATGGACTGTCCACGCCCGTTCCCAGGAGAGCCGGAAAAGAGATGTCCGTGCTCTACAACTGAATACTACCCCTCGACTGTCCCGTTCCTGCGACCAAATGGTGCGCATCACCGCCATGGAGGCCAGAAAAAAAGTCTCGCAGACTAGCAAAATATATCGCTGGTCAGTATGAGGGTCGAACTCATGACCTTGGCATTATTAGTACCAC